AACAAGGCCAAAGCTAAAGTGCACCTAGTGAGGATCGAACTCACTTTTTGTAGCAAGACAGGCTTGTTAATCATTACACCACTTCGAAGGGCCCCAGGAGAAAATGCTGGGAATATTTCGAGTAAGGACGCACGTTTTGCCTATTAACGTAATAAAGGATATTTATCTTCATATCTTGTTTTTATATCTCTGTTCCTTCTTTCTGCATAAACCACACGTCTTCGTTTACCTGTCAATGTATTTTCATAATTGGTGTTTATACATATATTCTTACCATCTAAATACACCGTGCATTTTCCTCTGCCTGTTGACATAATACATATCTATTTTCAGAAGTGGTTTTTGTGTCTCCATTCGTGGTTGCTACGTAAACCAAGCGTTTTTCTTTGACTAGCAATCTAATAAAAAATAATTATATCCTTTTTTTCTCACCATGCCTGTTCGATAAACCATACGCCATGCTTCTCACATAAATATCGTAAAAAAAAACGTTTTTTTTATATTGAAATTCATTGTTTTTATCTCGATATTTCCTTTCTTATGTTGTGGGAGAATTGTCAGCGCCACCATAAAGTGTGTCATAGCGATCAGTTTCTGCTTCAGTGTGTATCTTACCACCACATTTGTGTCCTACATTATTAAGGCATTTTGCCGACTTTTTCCTCGATATGTTAAAAGACATTCAGAATGTTTTTGTTTAAATGATTCAAATATTTTGTTTTCTGCTTCTAATACAACCATAAATGACATCCCTCCTTCCATTTTTCCCTTACGTTTTTCTGTTAATTAAAGTAGCATTTTTTAAATGGAATTTATTTTGAAACTCATTTGAGCAACTAATTCCTTGAGTACATTGTTTTGTAAAATCTCACCTTTATATTCACATACACTTTTATATAAATTTCTTGATGTTTTACCGAGGTATTCTTTGTGGCAATCAGTACAGCTTATAGAATAGGTTTCTGCTCCAGCTTTTAGCATTTTTATTATATTTTTATTTTTTTTAATTAAGTATCTGATCATTTGTGACATACATATATATGTCATTACCAAATATTAACCTTCAGGAAAAAAATTTAATCATCTTTTCTCAGATTTATTATTTTTACCCGAACGTTAATATTCGGTGATTGACATGTCATATACTATTTACATTATTCGGACTATTGTTATCATCTTTTTCGCCATGTTTATTACAACGTTTCGGCCGTTGTACGCTCGGGCCTTCTTCAGGTGGTCGGAATGTCGCACTGAACCGTTTATTTCGCTCACTGGGGTAGACTATTCTAGTTCCACGTGCCATGATTAATGGATGTCAATTATCAGTTATCTCCTGTTAATTCCCCTCTCCAAATTCTCCACTGCTTTAACCAGGTACTGAACACAGACTCTTTGCGTCTTGTCATTGGATCTAACCGACGCCTTTATCCACTGTGCCATGTGTCATCAAGGATATATGGCACAGTGGATAAAGGCGTTAAACATGGCACGTGGAACTAGAACAGTCTACACTCGCTCCAACTCTCTGTAACCCGTTGCTCCAACCCCTGTAACCCTTCCCGCCTTGCTTGGGGTTGAATGCTTAAACAAAAAATAACTGACTGATTAGAGATGCAGTTTTCTAATAAGTTATTTTGTATTCAGTTTCTGATATAAGTTAGTTTACATTCGTATTTTTAGTGGGGATCTTTATTAAGTCCAACATCTTTCTTTTTTTTCACTTTGAAAAATATATTAGTTTTATTGAGTTCAGTTTTTTAGTTTTGTTTTGGTATAAAGTTTGATTTTTTTAAGTTAAGAATATCCTTTTCGTTTCTATTGTTTGTTTGATTATATTTCGTTCATACGGGTGACTGCTGGGAAATTCCGAATTGAACACTTATCTAATGCACGAGGAGTGAATGTTCGATTGAAAGGTATGAATTAATCTCTATGGGTTTAATAGAGGGCAGGCTGGATTTTATAGACTTGCGTACCAACCAATCTAATATCCCTGGTGAAGGTATAAATACATCTCTTCTCCATCCAGTATAGCAGGACTGGCTGGATCCTATAGCCTTGGTTTTCAACCAGTCTACCGTAGATAGAAATGGCAACCTCCTGCGGGAATGTTTTTCTGCCTTGTCAGTCATAAATCGAAAGAGACATGATTGTCCAAGCGTGTATCACGTATGGCATATAACTGACTGTTCTCGGATTTAACTTCCTTTCACTTCCTTTGACTCTAATTTATACTAAAAAAATGTATTTTTTTTACTTGAACACGATCTCCAGTCTTCCAATTTTTGTCAATTTGACTTGTCTCTCCAGAACTACTACGGGCATTTTATTTCCACCATTGCTTCTGAGGCCACACAGTCTTCCGATTACGCAATGCACACTGTTTAATAATTAAACATGGGGCGGCTATTTCAAATACGATGTTACCAGTAACGTTTGAAGGAATATATATATATATAAACATATATTTATATATAAATATATATTTATATATACGGTTACATTATATACAGTTATATTTATAGTTGATCTGGCTTGATTTAGCCGTAAGTTCTATACTAAACGTTTCTTTTCTCGCACTTCTCGCTTATGGAACTCCCTTGCGGCTCCATGCTTTCCAGCCAACTTTAATCTGCAAATATTTAAATGCAATGTCAATCGCTATCTAATGTTTTCCTTCCCGCTCCTTATTAATGTTTATTTTCCTAATGTAAAAGATGATGATACCTTACCTGGTATGGCAAAGCGAGCACGTATATGCCTGGCGTGAAAATGAGTGAAGGCAAGGAAAAAGAGATATGGCCGCCCTAACACTAAGAAAAAAACGCTTTCGGGGCTAGGAGAATTGGCAAGATTGGCTGGGCGTATTGAAATTTTTTCCGCGAGATTAGCTAGGCATAATACACCACGCGCGGGAGAAAAACGACCTGTCGACCTGTGTATGACGATAAACTGCATCTGCATCCTGAGTATGACGATAAACTACATCCAGCAGCAAGGCCTCTGATCAGGAGGGTTTGAGGAGCGTGGAACCACCTCTTAATTTCTGGTTTTCCGAGGTGCACTCTGAACCGGAGTGGTAGCACCTGTTAGGGTCCCAGCTATGGGCAAATAGTTAACACCCAAACTTTTGTAAAAATAGGTTTTATACCAGAAAAAATTTGTAATAAAAAAACTTATTACCAGCAATAATTTTTGAAGGAAAAATTATTATCAGCAATACTTAAAAAAAAAAACTACCATCAATACAAACAGTTATACATTCTTTGAAAAAATATGACCAGCTTTCGATTTCTTCAAGGAAAAATATTACCAGAAATAGATTTTTGAAGAAAAACATATTACCAGCAATAAAAATTGTGTCGGCATTAAATAACCCATTGATGTTGATATGACGTAAAACAAAAACCAAACTGTTGTGGCCTGTTTAAAGGCCAGAAAGAAAGACACGGAAGATGAATGTAGGTTGAAAAAGTATATTGAAGATATATACAAAACAATAGTGTTAGTAATCAGTAGATTAGTACTGCGTCTACTACTCCACTCACCCTCTTCTCATCCGACTCTCGCAGTTTGTATTTATGCGAGGAGGAAGAGTTCATTCTACTGTAGGAGGGTTTACCACAACACAAACCAAAAACGATCAGATGTGCTTGAACGTGGTACTGCGTATAGAGAGAGACTTTCTCCGTTGAGAAATTGATTACTTGGGCCAGTTTTTTCACACCTAATTCTTCCGCAACCAGTAACCCCTTGTGTCTTAGTGGTTTTACTGCCTTGAATAGAGTTATACTGATTAATAAAAAATTATATGCGTGTATTTGTGTATGTTGAACAGAATTTTCTATCAATAATGTGTTCGATACTCGGGCAATAACCATTGAATCATAAATAATACAGTTCAATACCTAATCAATGTCAATTGTCTTTCACAATTTCACTCTCATCACTTGTCAGAAAATTTAATAAGAAACTAACGAGAGAGAGAGAAGTTTCCGATCTTTTTCCGAGTTAATAAATTTTCGGCGTTTGCAATAAATGACGGATTTCCACGGTATGTACATACTAATAATGATCTTACTGAAAAGTTCTCAGCCCAACTACGGACCGTGCTGATTATGACGATTAACTACATCCGGCAGCAAGGCCTCAGATCGGTAAGTATTGAGAAGCGTTGAACCACCTCTTAAATGTTGTTAATCTGACCCGGGGTGGTAGTACCTGTTACCCAGCAATGGGCAAATAATTAACCCCCAAACTGGGGTCTACTATGAAAGTAAAAAATTTTCTTTGTAAAATTATCAGCAACATATTTTCATCGTCTGTCTATATTTCTGAGATGAGGTATTATGTACATTATTTGCATTATTCGGACTATTGTCCTCATCTTTGTCGCCATATTTATCACATGTTTTTCTGGATGTCAGTTATCAGTTATCTCCTGTTAATTTCCCTCTGAAAGTTCTCCACTGCCTTAAACGGATATTGAACTCACACTTTTTTTTATAGGGTTCATTTCGATATTCCAACCACCTGAAGACGGTCGGAGCGTACAACGGCCGAAACGTTGTGATAAATATGGCAACAAAGATGAGGACAATAGTCCGAATAATGTAAATAATATATTTTCATCGTAATAAAAATTACCAGTAAATACATTTCTGTAAGAAGAAATTACCAGTAATATGTTTTGTGTTAAATAAATTACTAACGCTCCCAAGATATACCGTAAAATAAATCAAACCGACCCAAACCAAACCGACCCAAACCAAACCGACCCAAACCAAACCGACCCAAACCAAACCTGATTAAGAATCCCTTGAAAAAAAGATGATCTGGTGTTTGATATCTACCGTAGCTTAAGCTTAGGGTTACTACAGTAGCAGGAAAGTCCTCCTTCTATTCTGTAATATACAGATTTGTAAAGAACAAAGCAATTAGTTTGGTTGTATTCTACACTTTGTTATCTATCTATCTATCTATCTATCTATCTATCTGGCTTACGGCCACATCACGTTGAGACACCGGTTCCTGTACGATAACTGAAGTTAAGCAATGTCGAGCCTGGTCAGTACTTCGATGGGCGAACGCTTCGGAATGCCAGGTGTTGCAAGCTTGAATGTGCAGGTGTTATAATGGATAATGGCTTGGAGAGGAGATGGGCGCCGCCTAGCTATCCAAACACCCTCTGAAATGATGAAGGGGAAGAATAAATAATCAAAGTGTGTTTCTTCTGCTCTATGAAACCCCACCCACCCTCAGCTACCCCCGACGATTGAAAACATTTGCAGGGCTGATGATAATTGCGTATTTCTTTAACGAGAAAAAATAATTCTTCTGAAAATAACCAATTTATTTCTTTTGAAAGAAAGTGGAATTCTGGATAAAAAAAAGAAATAATTTTTGCTCCGAATGATTTGATCCCTTCCGGATTTTGAAGGATCTTACGTTTCAAAAAAAAAAAAAATAGTTTGCCATGATGGATATCTTAAATTCTTAGGAGGATGCTGCAAAATATTTCAACACAAAGATTTGATCTTCCGATAAATTCCTTATGCATTGCAATTTCCTTATCATCCTTTCATAACATGCTGGGAATAAAAACTGAAGATCTTTTTCTCTTTATCGATTCAGACCGTTGATAGTAAAGAACGCCTTACCATATTCTATTTGTTCCTTACCCTGTTCCATCAAATTCCCAATCGATATAGATTAAACTCTATGGATGCACAATCACTACATACAGGGGATGATGGGTAAATTGTCGCCATTTTATATTTTTAATTTCACGGATGCCCGTTCTTTGGTTTTGATTTTGTCTATTGTACAGAGTACAATAAGGTACGTTTGGAACTGTCTGTGAGAAAAAAAAAAGCAACATGACGTAATTTACTCCGCCAGAAATTTGGAAACGGCATGCTATGTTGCCTAACATTCGCGCCGGTAGTTGCAATACGGACATTTCAGTGTTTGGTTGTCGACCTGAGGACAGTACAGAGTTTTCGGAAACAGTTTGATGAGTTTAATAGTGATTTCGAAGGTGTTTGGTGGGATCACTACTGATAAGCAACATTATGTCTTCATTTCTCTTCGCACATGTCCTCAGGCACAGCATGGAGGCTCACATCAAATGGTTTGAGAAGGTATTGCTGCTCTGGGTCAAGAGGGTGACTGCTGAAAGAACTTATATCTGGCAACAACTGAAGGCCGAGTGTATATTCCGTGGTCTTAGGCTGCCGCTCAAGAGCTGAAAGCCCACTGAAATGATCACGAGGAAGAAAAATCAAAGTCTGTTTCTTTTAACCTCAGACATCCCTGACAATCGAAAACATTTGCAGGGCTGATAATAATTTCGTATTTCTTTAACGAGCAAGAATACTTCTTCTGAAAATAACCAATTTATTTCTTTTGAAAAAAAGTGGAATTCTGGATAAAAAAAATAAATAATTTTTGCTCCGATTGATTTGATCCCTCTCCTGATTTTGAAAGGTCTTACTCTTCAAAAAAAAAGTTTGCCATGATGGAAATCTTAAATACTGAGGAGGAGGATGCAAAATATTTCAACACAAAGATTTGATCTTCCGATAAATTTCTTATGCATTGCAATTTCCTTATCATCCCTTCATAACATGCTGGGAATAAAATCTGAAAATCTTTTTCTCCTTATCGATTCAAACTGTTCACAGTAAAGAACGCCTTACCATATTCTAATTGTTTCTTACCCTGTTCCATCAAATTCCCAATCGATATAGATTAAACTCTATGGATGCACAATCCCTACATATATGCATGCCTTAAAACCTTTTTCTATTACAAGTATAATAAAATGACTGACAAGAAATATCCAAGCAAATTATGGAAGAAGGAATATGGGAAAATCATTTGGATGTTTAATAGTTATTTTTTGTCGACGTTTCCTTCAATAAAAACAGCACCAGGTCAACTGAATACCTAAAAAAGTATAGTTATGGATAATTTGAAAATATTTAACAATTGATAAAATTAAAAACAATTATCGGTGAATAAAATAAATATCAATGATTTCTCTACGTAGGAACATTTTGAAATAAATGTAACATATACCGGCAAAGTTTTAAAACAAGCCACAAGAGACCTTCCCCCAGGCATTATTTTTCCTGGTGAGGGGGCTTGGTAATTTTTTCCACGGTGTTGCTGTGAAACCCACTTTGAACTAAACTTGTGTCACACTCGATAGCGACGTGGACGCGCGGAAAAATATATATATGGGTCTTAGTAGCCGAAAAAAATGATTTTAATGAGACAAAGTGAAAACCTTTAGAGAGAACGCGTTTCGCCTCTTTGGAATAGGCATTTTCAGGTCGGATTTGAAAGATAAAATTGTGCGTAAGGAAAGTGCATTTTAATTTCTGAGGAGGGAATAAATTATATTTTCAGATACTATATCCAGAATTATTTTTTGGTAGGTGAGTTTGGTCTTAAGTTTATCAATTTGGAACTCTGAGATTAGTACACTTTCAATGTCTTTTCCTCTTAGTTAATTCTATTCTCTTCTAATAAGATACGCATTTATTATATCAAAATTATGTGTTACTGTGAACTACCATGCGTTTCTTTTGTCTTTTCATTAGATTTCTAGTTGTTTCACCGATGTACATTATTGGGCATTTTGTGAAACGTATTTTGTATATTCATATTTATTATTGTTGCTATTCCGTTTAGTAATAAGTAAAGTTTTATTGTTTAAGAGGATTTTTTTTAAAGGAATTACAAGTGAAATTATTTTCGATTGTGGTTATTATGGCGTTGGTAGGTAGAATCACGTGCCTAATGCTATCTGTGTTGTTGAAATTATTGTTATCTAGATTTTTGTATTTTGTCTTTTATGGGTTTTGTAGGCTTTGCATTTAGCATTATACAGTACTTTCCTTTCACACAAGTTTTCCTTTCAAACTGAACTGATGACGCCTATCAAACGTAGACCAAACTAAAATCGTTCGAATTTGTCTCATCCTCCCTATCTTGAAAGTTATTACTAATCTTACTAGTGTTATATATTTACCATAATCTTTGCCTTAAAATAATATAGTTGCCTAGCCATACATTGTCAAAATAATTTAACTCTTTGGAGCACAATGTTCTCTGTTTATGTTTGCATTTTTCCAATCCACTGGGTAAACCCTTGCGTCTTAGAGGCATTAAAGACTTGCTTGGGGTGCATAATACGTATCCGTTTATTTTGTGAGCTAAAGGTAGCGAACTGTTAAGGACAATATTCTGCGGGGACGTCTAAAGGGCGTATGCTTGAATGATAGCTCATAGAGTCTGTACGTTTCTCAAACTACATGACCCCCTATCAGCCGTAACAACAAGGTCCAAAGAAATATATGCCTATTATCATAAGGAAGTAGCTAGTTTATGGGCATCAGTGATTGGGTTCGTTTCTACATCAACTTGCACTGTGCATTTTACGTCTACTGCTGCTGCTGCTTTCATTGGTTAAATTAGGTTCATTTTGTTCTGCGCATGTGCATTGGCATCCTGACACCAACGAGCGTGACAGCCATCTCTTTCGGTTAGCTTTATAGGCCCACTTATCCGTCTCCGCACTTTTTCGCGCCGGCCTTGCCTTTTCTTTAAATCTCGGCTCTTCGTTTGCATTAGTGATTTTACTACTGTTTTTGCTTTCTGTCTCGTCGGCTGGTTGGGGGCCATTTTACATGTGGTCTTGTCATGAAGACCCCGTTGAGCACAGGCAACAGTGACCCTGTCAACAAATTACAACTAGAAAACTAATTAGGAAATGTCACGTACTAAAATTGCATTAGTTTTTCTCTGAGAAATCGAACGAAAAAACATAGTGTGAGAACGATAATTTCAATGAGAATGGTTAAAAGATATACTAATACTATCATTAATATAAATAATACTATTATAACAAATTAAATTACTGTTATGAATTCTTCTACTACTACTACTAGTACTACTACAGTCAATACTACTACTACTACTATTAATAATATTATTATGATTAATACTACTTCCAAGGTTTTTATAATTATTGTTATTTGTGGATTTTTGTATTTTTTTTTCTTTATTTTCTTTTAGGATTTGGGTTATTTTTTATTTTATTTTATTGTTTTGTTTTTTTGTTTTGTTTTTTTAAGCTTATCACCCCAAGCAAGGCGGGAGTGCCACAAGCACGCAAGGAGTTACAGAGAGTGAGAACAAGAGTAAAGAGGGGGGTTTTGAGGAAAGGATATAGAGAAGGACGGGGATCAGGATCAAGGCATCAGAAGATGTCGATTGACATTACATTTGAATATTTGAAGATTATAGTTATCAGGGAAGCAAATAAGAGGAAAGGCGTTCCACTGTCAGGAAGTGCGAGAGAAGAAGCTGTTGGAGTAGAAGGGAATTATTTCGACAGTGAAAGGGTGAGACCGAGATGCCAACCTAGTAGCAACGCTTAAATTCATGCAGTTGGGGAACCAGTGAAATTAGCTCGTTAGAGTAGTTGCCATGAAAATATTTATAGAAAAGACAAAGGGAAGCCACAGCATGTCTGTGAGAAAGTGACTGCAGACGAGATGCCAGATCAGGACCTATCACATTGCATATCCTTCTCTGGATTTTGTCGAGGAATTTCCTTACACACAAGTTTTTATTTCATACTGAACTGAAGCCGCCTACCAAAGGGAGGCGAAACTAGTTTTTTTTTCAATTTGTCTCATCCTCTATATCCTAATCTTGTTAGTGTTATGTATTTCCCATAATTTTTTACTTAAAATATTATGTTTGCCTCGCCATTCATTACCGAAATCTTTAAGCTCTTTATAGCAGGGGTCGGCAACGTTTTGCAATGTGCCGACTTAGGGTTTTAAAATCATTCATTGTGCCAACAGCATACGTATTTTTATACAAGTTCAATATACCTGTTCTAAAGTATATTTTATAATAGTAATATATATATATATATATATATATATATATATATATATATATATATATATATACACTTTAGTATATATTAAAATTGAAATATAAATATCTTCTTTGTGTTGTAGTAGTTATTGGTTCGGACTTCGTGATGTCATTTGCGGCTGCGTGCCATTGAGAATTGTTTGGCGTGCCA